ATGGTGAGATATATAGGTGCTACCCCGCCCTGCTTGATCAACTAAGGACCATTTCATTGTTGTAAATATTTTGGGCACTTATCTATACCATCACACTGTATATGGGATCGGTAAGCCATAGATCCATATACCTTACTTTATTTGGTGCACTGACTTGACTTGTGTGGGGGATTGCTATCCGCAAACAGTCTAAGGGGGTTCAATATGAGACTTGGGCATTTGGCACTTGTCAGGAGTTTATGCAAATCTTTCGAGCATTCGGGGAAAAGTTGATGCATGAATTACGCCTTACAAACATGGTTCCTATTGGGCATGGTCTTGGCATCGTGTATGAAAAGGGTACACCTCCCGGGAGATGAAATCCATTGCAATAGCCGAGCCCTCGGTTACGGGACATACTCAATCCAGTTTGCCTACTTCGTAGTTGGTTTATGGATGTTGCACTTGGTGAAGTGCAAGGTGATGTTGGGCTAATGGTACCATGGTACAAAATTGATTAATTGATCTCATTTATATTCTTGTACAATCTAAAATTGAATTGTGGGCCAAGGGGCAACTCAATACTTAACCCATAGGTGGTCAAAATGAAGTTCTTCCAATCTAAAATTTAATTGTGGGCCAAGGGGCAACTCAATACTTAACCCATAGGTGCTCAAAATGAAGTTCTTCCACTGCTTCATGCTTATAGTATTCATGCAATTTGCTCTTGGGTTATGTGCTAAAATTATTGAACTTAAAGCCTATCCTTGCTAATGCCTTCATGTATACTCCTTTGATTTATTGGGTAAGTCTTGCAAGTACATTCCGTGTTCATGTGCTCTGTCTTTAAGTGGTTTGCAGGTGAGGAGACCCCGGTGTTTGGTTACTTCTTTCTTGCCGAGGTGGGGAAGAGTAGGACTTTGTTTATCCTGTAGCTTGTGGAAGGGTCATCCACACGACGTGCTGCTGCTAAAATATTTTCGGTTCAGATCTGAACTGAAGTTTAAACTGGTATAATATTCATGTTGTGTCTCTTTTGGCAAGTGAACTTGTAACTTCTTGTAGTTATTCATGTGATGGAACTACGGATGGATGACTTAATTTCAGATCTGCGTACTCTCATATGTGATGGTGTGATGATGATGCTTGGGTTGTACTCGGTGCTCAAGTAATAGTCGCATTCCTGGAAGATCATTATATTCTTTGTACCGAGGTTTCTTTTGTCATTTTTTAATCAATTGTTGAATGGATGCCCATTGTGATGGTTAAGGGTGAGATAGCTACCACGGGCTATCTCACGGTTAATTATAACATATGAGGCGGCCGGCGAACGGTTGATTTGGATATGAAAAAGAGAGCCTTATAGCTTTTCTTTATGATAGCCTTGCATGTTATTACTTTCCCACACTTACTGAGTACTCTATGTACTCACGGCTGCGTCCATACATTCTATTTTTGCTGCTCAGAGGAGAAATGCATATGCTGGAGTACTAAGCTGACGATGTTTTTGCCTAGGCGAGGGTGCCCAGTCGACGTTCGATCCTGCAGAGTTGGAGTCTATGTCGCGTTTATTTTAGATTAGCTTTTATCATTCATATGGACCTGAGGTGAATAATGTAAACATTAACTAAAACTTGTTAAGGTTGTGATGTGGATTTCTGGTTTACACTTATGACTTCGCTACTCTCGGTTTTTTCTTAAAACCGTGTGTGAGAACAAGCATAGTCAAACTTGAACACCTAAGATCGAAAAAAGTTAACAGTACGTGTCATATGTTTAAAAACAGAGAGAGTATTACCGGTTATAACTCGATAGGTACAACAAAATAATATTTAGTACTAAATTCTGGTACCTCCAATGCTAAACTCAAATTATACATTTGGTACCTACGTACCAAGATTTGATATCTTTTATTCTTTGTGTTTCCGACGACTAACTCACACCAATATTTATGTGCTGGTACAACATATATAAGAAAATTTTAGGAATAGTATTAGTCCACGTCATTCCACAGTCCAGAGGCTCCATGTATCGGTCAGATTCGATCAGATCCTGCTGAAGAGATTAGCTTGGAGATAAGCGAGCGCGCCGCCAGCGCAAGGAATCCAAGGAACGAAAACCACACCGCAGTGTTGATCTTGCTGCTGAATCGGTCCATGCCGAACCTCGACGCCCACACATGGTTGCGAGACGCAGCCGCGGACGACGCAGACATCAGGAGATACGCCAGCACCTGCAGCAAAATTAAACCAACCAGGGTGAATTCGACCATCGAATTTCGTTGGAAGCGGTAGAATGCGCTAGCTGGACATGCATGCCTGATCGAGGAAGAGGGTGATGCAGTGGAATGAGACGATGCTCTGCAGCCTCCGTGAGACCAGACGGTGGGTTTCGACTAATGCTTGCGCGATCGAGTAGAAGCAGACGATCACATTCACTCCGACGGTGTACCTGCCATATATAGTGGGTTTGAGGCGAAAGAATTAGCACCTTGCCAATTAACAAAGGGACTTGCTAAAATTCAGGTGCCTGAATTTTAGTTTTCCTAAGTGACTGTTATTGCATATATGTTATACTAAAATTGCAGATTCAGTTCGTTGCAATTTATATAAATATAATCTGCAATTTTCTGTTCCGAGAATAAAAAACCTACTAGGCAAAATTATAGACCCGACAAAATTTGATCTGTGTTGGCACAAAGACAATTAACAATTATTATTTCTATAGTTAAACAAAGACAAAATTTGATTTGTTATGATATAAAGACAATCACAAATCATAAGAGCAACAATTTACTTATACTAGTTTGTTGTACAAGAGTGTTGCTTAAAATCATCTAAAAATTCAGGCACATGTAATATAGGAGAAGTGGCCAACAAAACATGCATGATATTGGAGGAGAAGCTTCGCGGGAAACTCTTTCAATTTGTGCCGACTTTAAAACAGGTCCATATGTTTTTAGCACTGATGCAGTGATGCATCACTGCTGGCTCTGGGAGCCGGCCGTAATTTGATTAAAAATACCAAAGAAAAACAAAAACAATTCTCGCCGAGCCCAGCCGCATGGCCGCAGGCCGCCGCTCGCCGGGGCCGGCTGCGCCCCGGCCAGCCGCGGTTCCATGTGCTCCAGCCCTGCCACCACTGTGCAAAGCCGGCCCCGGCCCTGGCCCTGGCCTTGGCCCCGCTCACCGCAAGATCAACCTTGCATATTACTACTATCATTGCATAATCTATTGATCACATGTTCATCTTATGTAGTACCAAATTAAGTACTACTTCCGTTTTTAAATATATGACGCTTACGACAAACCTAAACGTCATATATTAAAAAACAGAGGGAGTAGTTTAGAAGCAGTCAAAATTTAAATAGTATACTACTGGAGACCGGCTCTTTGCCGAGTGTCACGTGGTTTATCGAGTGTTTTTTTTCGGGCACTCGGCAAAGACGCCTTTGCCGACTGTTTTTTTTGACACTCGGCAAAGAGGCTCTTTGCCGAGTGTTTTTTTAACACTCGGCAAAGAGTTTCTTTGCCGAGTGTTTTTTTTTTGACACTCGGCAAAGAGCTTCTTTACCGAGTGTTATTTTTTTACACTCGGCAAAGAAAATTTCAAAGCACATTTTGAAGCAGTAAATTAATTCAAATGAAAAAGTTTTTAACTACAAAGTTGTATAACTCATCAAGATGTACAATGTTTGTTTTGGTCTTTTCTTTATACGACAAAGTGAAAATAAATTTGTTCACAAATCTAACATATCTCTCTGGTAGTTTATGAAACTACAAGAGAGATATATAAGATTTGTGAACAATGTTAGAACGACCATGTCGGATGAACAGATGACCAAACAACCAAAATAAATTTTGTAGATCTCGAAAAGTTATGAAACTTTGTAATTGACAACTTTTTGATTTGAAAACATTTTGTCATGCAAAACTGTGTTTGAATTTCAAAATTTTAAAATTCAAATTTTGTAAACGACCTCGGATGGAAAAACTTCCTAAACTAAAAGTGTAGATCTCGAAAAGTTATGAAACATTGTAGTTAACAACTTTTTGATTTGAAAACATTTTGTCATGCAAAACTGTGTTTGAATTTCAAAATTTTAAAATTCAAATTTTGTAAACGACCTCGGATGGAAAAACTTCCTAAACTAAAAGTGTAGATCTCGAAAAGTTATGAAACTTTGTAGTTTACAACTTTTTGATTTGAAAACATCTTGTCATGCAAAACTGTGTTTGAATTTCAAAATTTTAAAATTCAAATTTTGTAAACGACCTCGGATGGAAAAACTTCCTAAACTAAAAGTGTAGATCTCGAAAAGTTATGAAACTTTGTAGTTTATAACTTTTTTATTTGAATTCGTTTAGGGCCTCAAACATGTAATTTACACTCGATTTAGTATAATATATTGGGAACTAAAACGGAATCCAGACACAAGTGAGAGTGTGGTGTAGTGGTAGAGGAGGTACGTGCACAGCGGGAGGTCTCGGGTTTGAATCGCGTCGGCCGCGTAGCCATGAAATTCACGCAAAAAATGTCGGAGATGGGTGGGCGGCGCGTAGCCATGAAATTCAAGCAAAAAATGTCGGAGATGGGTGGACGCTAGCCGGTGGGGGCCTCCATCGATAAAAAAAATCCCATTTTTTTTGGGTAAAAATCCCTTTTTTCGTGTTTTTTTCGGTTTCAACTTTGCCGAGTGTCGGGCACTCGGCAAAGGTTTTGCCGAGTGCCCGATAAAAGACACTCGGCAAATTTGGCTTTGCCGTCACTTTTTTTGGCGAGTGCTGTTCGCCGAGTGTTACACTCGGTGAACCATTTGTCGAGTATTTTATGTATTTTGCTGAGTGTTTCGGACACCCAGCAAACTACAGGAGTCCGGCAGTGGTATGGTCAATAGTGATAGTTATTTGAGAAAAAGAGGTAAGTATATATAGCAAGATTTTAATTTATAAATTTCACACGGCTTGATAACTGGTTTGGAAAAAATCTACAACGGCTATTACTGTTAGATAACGCGAAAATTATCCTCCTCCGCGGTTCAATATTTTTAAACTTTTCATCAAAAACGTGAAATAAAAGGAAAACTTGCACGTCATAGCGGCCCCTAACCTGTAGGCCTCGTAGCGGCCGTAGCGGTTGCCGGCCCACCCTGACGTCCTCGCGCTGGCCATGATCGAGAAGGCCAGCAGGCTGAGCACCGCCGTGAGCAGCCGCAGCACCACTGAGAGCGTCCTCCACTTCTCCGCAGGGGGCGTGGCAGGCACCTCCAGCTCTGGCTCCCGCTCCAGCTCTTCCAGGGCGTCGTCGTCGGCGGACTTGATCACCTTGCCGGGATGCTTGGCCTGCTCGAGGTAGATATCCATGCGCGGTGTGGAGAAGATCCGGATCTCCTCGGCGTCGCCCCTGGCGGCGATGCGCTGATGGTCGTGGGAGGATATCGCGGAGGTCGCGAAGGCCTTCCCCCGCTTCTGGTAGGTGTCCCACGTCTTGAAGAGCTCCAGCATCTTGAGCAGCTCCTTCCGGAGCATGTCGAACATCGGGTCGACAAGCTTCTTCGCCGCCTCCGCCAGCTTGTTCAGCGCCTCCGCCAGTATATTCCACGCTTCCACCATGTTGTTTTGGTCGGCCTTCTCCTTCGCCGCCTTGATCGAGCCCACGTGCTTCAGCCGGACCAGCTCCGCCTGCACCGGCGGCGGCTTCGTCGACTCGTCGGCCGGATCAGGCGCCCTCCTGCTGCGGTTCATGGTGATCACCACGGGGTCCGAGGCTACCTTCTGGCCCTGGAAGGTGAATCTATACTGGACCTGCGCGACGTTGGCGTGGTACGAGGGCGAGGCTATGCGGTCGCCGAGAGCGAGCTCGACGATGACCCTGCGCACTTCTGAGCTGTAGAGGGCGCCGAACTTGACGGTGACCGAGGAGGAGCCATCGCCGGCTGGGATCGGCTTGTAGGCCCCGGTGTGCACATCCTTAATTGCGGCCTCGCCAAGGAACGCCGTGACGGTGAGCTCCAGGTCCTGGGGGATGATGGTGACGAGGCCAGCCAGGATCTGGGAGAAGGTCTGGGAGAGGTTGGTGGGGTCGGTGGTGTCACTGACGTAGTTGTACACCCCGCCCAGGCTCTTATTTGCGATCGCTTCCAGGACATGGGCGTAGTGGTCGTCGCCGAAGCCGAAGGTGTGGACGGGCACGTTGCCCGGGTCGTCGACGGGTATTGTGTCTTGGCCGTCGGACATGAGCATGATGTTGGCGGCGCGACCAGCAGTGAATCTGCGTTGGGCCACCACGCTGAGGCCTGCCTGCAGGCCGGCCTTGATGCTGGTGCCGTCGTTGGCCTTCAGGCCTCTGACGACGGCCTCGAGCTCGGTCCGGGCGGCCTCGGTGACGCGGCGCAGAGGGCGGTGGACGGTGGCCGTGTACTCAAAGGCGACGATGCAGAGGCGGTCGATGTCGGTGAGCTTGCGGATGATGAAGATGAGGGCCTCCTGCGCCTGTTTGAGCTTGTCCCCCTCCATGCTGCCGCTCACGTCAACGACGGCGACGAGGTCCAGGGGTGCTCTGTAGGTGGCGGAGGAGACGCACTTGAGCTCGAGCATCACCTCCTGGACGTTGGGAGCCAGGGGTGCTTCGGAGCTGTGGTACTTGCTGAGCCGCACTAGCCGCGACGGCCTTGCCGGCGCGGGCTTCGTCGTCGGAGGCGGCTCCTCATCGTCGTTGAACTGCATTTTTTTGTTGGCTTGTTACAACCAGTGTCAAACACACGCACGCTATATATCTGGAGATGAACACGGTGGGCGGAATGACAATCTCGCACACGCACAGAGCGAGCACCGCAAAACTTGCGCTGTCCTCTTGCTTACTTCTCGCGCGGATTACATGGCTCCATCTAGCTAGCCTTCTTATAGGCTGTTCGCACGGCGGAATAACTCGGCAACAATACACACACGGCACTCAATCTAGATACTAACCAATAGCCCCAAGCTTCCCTCTCAAGACACGTTCGCTCACGTTCATAGCTCGTACTCCCTCTGTCCCTTAATATAGCTAGTTTTAGGGTTAAAAATTTATCCCGAATTACAGCTAGTTTTGAGTTGGGTGGGATTTTCAGAGTCAGCGGATAAAAGTGCCCTTCCTCGCTCTCCTCCACCTTATCCCCTCCCTTTCTCCCTCTTTTAATCCCCTTTCTTAATCTGTCTGAAAAATTCTAAAGCTAGCTGTATTTAGGGAAGATTAAAATACACCGGTATTCCTCAGACTTGTTCCGTAGTGTCTTATAGGTCCCTAAACTCTTAAAATGCAATATTAGGTCTCTAATATTGTTATGTATCACTCGAGATCCAAATCACACTAATTAGCCTGTAATTACCAATGCAATTGAATTTCAGTCATTCGTTGAGGCGAAACATATGCAAATATAAGCTAATAGGGAGAATTGGATATCAAGTGGCACAATAAATAAGATATATGAGCCATTTGTTGAGGTAAAACTTAGTCAGATTTATGCTATTAGTGTGATTTGCATCTAGAGTGGCACACTTAACGAGTTTAGGGATATGCATTTTGAGAGTTAAGAGGACTTAGTGACACCATGAGACAACTTTATGGACCGCGGGTGTATTTTACTCTTTTGGGACGGATAGAGTACTTGGTTGTTTTCAACATGCGGTTTTCTTATGCCGACTGCCTGCTTGATTACCACAGTGCTTCCACAGGCGGTCAGGTTCCCCTCCTGGCCAACTGCACAGGTGGCTTGCCAAATAAGCTGCCTGCATAGCGGAACCTAGCCTGTTCGGAAGACTGTAAACGATCGTAAATTATTTACTGCTGTCTGGTTTGGTGTGAGAGAAAAACAATGTTCTGGCTGAAAATTTACGATCGTTTACGACCAAACGAACATGCTTATCTCTAAAAATAAGTTTTTTTATAGTGATCCTAGTACATGGAACATAAAGTTTGACTCAAGACTCTCACATGCTCAAGTAAATTCCCCATAATTTTACTCAATGCTAGCAAATCTCTACTGCTGGAACATTGCACATATGTTGTTATATGGGGCGTACAATATGCAATCCACTCAACCACCTTAGTGCCTAAGCACCCATGTCTATGCGGTCATGTGCTTTGAGATTCACCGTGTTTGATGTTTGCACTACTTGAGATATGAAACGTCAAAAAACATATAATCACTATAGTTGCAATACTGGTTAAAAATGAGTTGCATTGACTTTCAAATTTCACTTACAGGTAAATCAGTGGTATCACTAGTACAGAAACGGGCTTTACTCCTGGTTGGGAAACCCCTTTAGTCTCGGTTTCCCAACCGGGAGCACGAATCCGGGACTAAAGGGTCCCTCGTTTAGTCCCGGTTTTTCGCCCGAAACTAAAGGTCCACCTTTAGTCCCGGTTGGTAAGACCAACCGGGGCTAAAGAGGCCGGGGCCACGTGGGCCGGCCCTTTAGTCCCGGTTGGTATTACCAACCGGGACTAAAGGTTTTCTTTTTTTTTGTTTTTATTTTCTTTTGATGATTCGTTCGCATTCTACGCTTCTACCGTTTCTTTTGATGATTCGTTCGCATTCTACACTGTTATTGGGTTTCTATTTTCTTTTTATTTTCTATTTTCTTTTGATGATTCGTTCGAATTATACGCTGCTAGCGGGACTTTCTATTTTCTTTTTTTTGTTTCTATTTTCATTTGATGATTCGTTTTGGCTTTCGAATACGCATTCTACGCTGCTAGAATATACGTAACATTTTGTACAAACTAAAGTACAAGGATGCAGCGGTACGATCCTATAGACCAGATCCGTTTCAAGTAAAGTCGTGCTGCATGGCTTCAAAGCTGAGCTTTTAAGTTAGCTTTCACTCTTCTGAGCAAGCGAGGTGGTGCTAATAGGTGGGACTGGCCAGCAATTCCAGCATATTGCGTACTGGGCCGCTCCATTCTGGTATATGCTCTCTCCTATGTGTGGGCTTCAGGTCGAGCCGGCCGATCAAGACAGCAACCGGGACCTTTAGTCCTGGTTCTAACAGCGAACATGACGTTTAACAGCGAACCGGGACTAAAGCTAATGCACAACACAGCGAACCGGGACTAAAGCTAATGCACAACACAGCAAGGTGCGGTAGCTAGTGTACGGATCACATCCCTATTTCCGACGTGGTGACTGACGATCATCCAGTGGATGGAATGGTGATGGGCTTTTTGGATGGATGCATGTGGTCCGGGTCGTCGTCGTCTCTTGTTGCCATGTGACGCGAAAAAGCTGGAAGAAAGGTTGTAGTACGGCGGAAGCTCCGGTCGTGTCAGGTCAGGTCAGGCTCAGGCGACGCAATTGAGGCCCACGCAGCCCATCCACATGCTCAATCGGTTGGATACCTTTAGTCCCAGTGGGAGACGGCAACCGGGACTAAAGGTCCCTTTCTAGTCCCGGACGGAGCCTTCCGCCGAGATTAGACTTTTACTCTTGGTTGGAGGGACCAACCGGGAGTAAAAGTTAACCTTTTGTCCCGGTTGATAGCTCCAACCGGGACTAAAGGTCCCCTACAGCAAAAGCCTGCCGCAGTAGCCGTTGGGCAGGGACCTTTAGTCCCGGTTGTAGCTACCAATCGGGACTAAAGGTTTCTCTAGTCCCGGGCGCGAAAAATACCGGGACTACAGCTAAATTTCGAAGTGGATCAAATATCGTTTCTCTACTAGTGTATAGAACATTTGAGACCCAAACTCCGAAGTCTCATATTAATCAAACACGTGTATCTGATAGTTCATGATATGGGTGTGCCTAATGTTGGTGTAATCTATGCATGACCTCCTTGCACATAGCAATTGGACTCAATGAACAATCTAGCCAAACCCACAAAGTCAGGCTGCCACCAGTCTCCGTGAACTAGTACCTTCGGCTACGTTTGAGTCCTGGAATCCAAGGATGTTTACCAGGAATACTCTTTTAATCTTAGATAATCACTTTGTTTGGTGAAATAACCAGGAATCTAATTAGGAACCTCAGATTACTTTAATAGTCTCGTTGGGTCTTGCATGCGGCATTCTAGCTACTTTGTCCCGACCATGCATCCGAGGTGACGTGAAAGGCACAAAGGCCACCAGAGACAAGAATCATGCAGGAAGAACCTCCAAGCTTTTTCATTCTAATATATTATTTTTCAATGGTTTGATGTAATATGGGATGTACTTTGCAAAAGTGAAAGTCCGTGTACCACAAATTCGGTTTCCCCTAGAAAGGATGCATTCATACATTGCCGAGTAGTAGGACTCTTTGTCATTGTATTTTTATTATTTATTTTAGAATGTCATAGTTGAATGTTGAAATTTCATAGTTCAACATTGTTCTAATTTATATCTTTTACACTGAGTTTGAAAATTAAAGTTTATACTTTAAATTAATACCGGACTTATGAATTTCATACCCACAAATTGCCAGAACTTATGCTTGAAAGTTTTGAAACATGAATTTGGGATATCAAATTTTGTTGTCCTCCAAATCTTGGAATCAAGAATTAAGAATAAATTATTGGAAATATAATATACAGTAAACCTATTCAAACCCTGAGGCAGGCCGGGTTTCGGTCCAAGCCTGGAAAGGCCGGGCCAAAAATGAAAAGCCCAAGTCCGCTGTCAGGTTGAAATTGCAGGCCCGAGTACACCTAATTACTGGTCAGGCTCGGGTCTGGTTCAGACGGGCTTAAGCTGTTACGTGTATTTTTTGGGTTTTGCCGGGCTTCAGACCGAAATTCAAAGGCCGAGTCTAGCCAGGTGGTTGCACAGGCTCCAAACTGGAGCCCGAGACTGTCCTGTACGGTTGGTCAGGTCGGGTTGGTCGGGCCGAGCTATTCATGAACAAGGCCGTGTTTAGTTGGAGGCTGATTCGGCGCCGCCGGATTCGGCGACACTGTTCATGCACTGTAGCGTTTTGTTTTTATTTGGTAATAATTGTCCAATCGTTGACTAATTAGGCTCAAAACGTTCGTCTCGTAGAGTACAACCAAACTGTGCAATTAGTTTTTGATTTCGTCAACATTTAGTACTCCATGCATGTACCGTAAATTTGATGTGACAAGGAATTTTCTTTTTGCATAGTACCAAATTCTGGAAAATAGGAGAACTAAACATGGCCCAAGTCTAAGATACAACTTTGACACGAAGTCCAATGTCTTGAAACAAAATATAACGTTTTGGGACCACTCTCATGAACACAACACAAAAACAATTAATTATTACTTCTGGAGCCCCTAAGAAACAACGACACGATATTATGTATCGAAGGTTGTCTAGAACTCAATTTAATGATCTTTTGATGTGGTAGTGTTGGATTTGGCAGCACGATATTATGCACTGGGAGTAGCTGTAGTAATTGTTATATACTTAGGATCATTAGGAGCAGATCTAGCTGGTGGAAACTTCACTAATCATGGCATAAACAAGTAGATTATCCTAGTACATGAACTAGAGAGAAAGAAGAGAGGGGTAGAAGGGGCTGACCGTCCTGCTTGGAGGTGGATGAAGCCATGGAGTCGGTGGTGAAATCGACGTCGAGGTGAGTGGCTCCGATGAAGGTGCTGAGGTGCTCGTCTCGGCGGCGTAGATCTAGTGGTGAGGGCGGTGGTGCTGGCAGTGGCGCTTCCTGTCACTGTCAGCGCTGCCCTCTCGATCGGACTAGGGTTAGGATGTCGATGGGGAGTTGGCGGCTACGGTGAACCTCGTACCCAGT